TCGTCCAACACAATCGTCACGAGTGAATTCTTAGACGAACAGCCGACTACCCCACGTGACGCTCGCTATTACCAAAATTCAAGCTAATAGCCAGTTAGGGGAGTCCGGCCGGTTCGCAAGGGTCGGACACGGGACCGTCTCTCTTTGTAGCCTTAATTCGATTAAGACCGCCATCTTTCCCGACCGGCACCGCCGACGTCGCGCTCGTAACTCCGTTATCGAGGCACGACTGCCCAAATTCGATCGTCAATATCATCTTGTTGGTCCCCAAGAGACGGCAGACGGCAAAACCGCGTCCACGCCGAATAATTGTCTGCTCTTTGCATCCCCAATTACCCCGTTGCGGGAAAAAAAAGGGATTCTTTGTGATGCGGCTTGCGAGATTGTTGCCGACGCGATAAACAATAACTTGAACTATTCTCGCGTGAATAGAACAGTACTAAAATACTTAAATGGTGGGAAAATCCGGCGATATTTCTAAATCAAGAACTATACGTGCAATATTACAGAAATATATTTGAACAGTCGCAATGTTCTTGCTTAAGAACATGCCTTTAATGTTTTAATGCGCCTTTTATTATAGCTGTCTATCTCTACAACCGTCTATTCCGGAATAGATATACCTTCCTAAACTTATGTGTCGACAAGAAACTCACTATTCTCTATTACTTCGGAAGTAGTTATAGTTTGGAAATAGTCGACGATACATATTCTCTGGGCTTACTTTTTATATTAAATATACACTCGAAAAAGAAGCAATCTTTGCACATCAATCTTTTATTTTACATGCTATTACAGTTTCTATCTTATTGAATTAGTAATTCTAAAATCGTTGTGGATACATGTGCCCGTTATTATACTTCGCCGCTATTTCTACCTTATACTTACTGTCTTTTAAGAAACACTATGTCCTAGACTGAGCGTAAAGTATCATTCATTCGTCAACTTACGACGCTAATTTATTACGGTTGTTTCCGAGAAGAATGCCGCGAGTAATCGACCTGTGTAATGCGGTGTACCAGACTCATTTAGAAGATACGGTCGGAACGCACGTCTCCTCGACTCGTTCGTCTCGCCGTTATCAGGACAATCGTTATTGTGCGCAGGTGCAACAAGATCCTTACACTTAATGCGCGAGAGAGCTCCCCGGAAATTCAAAAACACCGTGCGCGTCTGTAGAAGTCTCTCGACGCCGCTGCCGCCAGCGTTCGTTGAACTCACTTACACCCGCTGTAAAAGAACAAATCTTCATAATTTTTCATAGCGTTCGCTAAGAGCTAAATGCTGCATGCCGATGCCGTCTCAGCCAAGGAATCGAATCGTATTGAATCCCGTCTGTTTGACATTGTCCGCTCCGATGTCAGTTTCGGTTTAAAAGCGTACACGAGTCAGTCTGTTGCGATTTCGCAATTGAACGCGAAAATCTTGGACAACTACACCTCGACAATCGTTTCTTATTCTCCTTTAATGACACACGTTTGGTCCGTTTAGATATCGTGAATATCTTTGATCGTCAGTGTTTTTATTGGATACTTTCTTAAAAATTGTTTTTCACGTTATCCACTCATTTAAATCACATCGCTCATGTAGGTACAACCTATTTTCATAGCATGCAGGCCGCGCGATTCTTTCTTAGAATGCATTGATTCTTACGCGATATCTGCAGAAAGAGAGAGCACCGTTTCCGTCATCGTCGTCGACGTCGTCGACGTAGGCACCGCCGCCGCCACCGCCGCCGCCGCCGCCGCCGCCGCCGTCGTCGTCGTCGTCGTCGTCGTCGTCGTACTCTCCACCACCGCTCGACGGTGCTAGTAACGACAGAACAACCACCACCACCACCTCCGCCATCAGCAAAGCGCGGCCTCCTCTCATCATCATCAGCGGATCGCCGTTTCGGGAGGCCGATCGGTGGGCCTCGCCGGGGCCGATGCCGCGAGAGAGAGAATTCTCTCCTTCTCGGACGGCGAGAACAAAGCGAGACGCGCGGTCTCGCGGGAAGCCGCGAGAGTGAGAGAGGCGGTATGAGGCGGTCTCCGGGGGCGGCGCCTGTCGGCGCGTCCGATCGGAAGGCAAGCCGCGCGATTGGCCGGCGATGCCGTGGTGCGAGGGGAACGTGAGGACGCGTGAGGTATACGGCGACGGGCGCCTCCACCCGCGCGGCGCGCAACGTTACCGTCTCCTTGCCACGGTGCACGTCTCTCTCTCCTGCCGCCGTTGCCGCCGTCGATGCCGCTACTGCCGTCACGTCGCACCGCACCGCGTCCTCGCGCGAGCGCGCGCGATATCGGCCGCCGCACCGCCGACGCCGCCGCCGCCGCCGCCGCTGCCGCGCCGCGCCGCGCACGGTGCCACCACTGCCGCTCGAGCGAACCGCCGCCGTGCTGCTGGTCCTCTCAGTCGCGACGCGCTCGTCACGGGGTGTAGATCGTACGCCGTTCGTCGCTCCGACACCCTTCGCCGCGCGCAGCACGCGGACACTCGCGTCATACGTCGCACGCGATTTACCGCGATCCGTACATTCGTATTCGTTTTCGTAACGCGCAATTTTGTCGCGGACGACGCGACGTCATTATCATTCGCCGTTGTCGTCGGTTTCGAGGTGGTTGGTGGTAGGTGGTTGATGGTGAAGTCTGACTGTTTCTCTCGGACAAAACACGCTTCAACGCGATAGACCTTTCGACAAGACTGAGATAGGTGGTGGTAGAAAAAAATCGGAGAGAAACAGAGAGAGAGAGAGAGAGAGAGAGGAGGGTTAAAGTGTGTCGCGTGGTGCATCGGAGCAGGGACGCGCAACCCCTGTCTCGTGACTCGATCCCGATCCCTCGGGAGAATCCCCGTCGCGTGTATGATGCTTCATTGGGGGAGGCAAGGTGAACTCTAAACTCTTTCGGAAGC